TCCTCTCCTTCCTCAGCCTCTTTTTCATCATCCTTGATCAAGTCTAGCTGGTCATCCCCCCGATCTTCATTATCATCATCATCCAGTAGGTCCCCCTCCTCAGCAGAGTCATCTGCACCCCCCTCAGAATCCATCTTCACATTAGTCTCATCTTTCTTCACGGAGCTGCTGCTCTGCTCCTCTTCTGACTTATCATTCTTCATCTCTACTGCTTGTTTGCTCTGTTCCTTTTCAATTTTTTCCAGGTTTTCCAGGAGAGAATCCACTTTTTGTTTTATCTGGGTCGGTTCCTTCTTAATGGCCTGAAGGTCATCTCCTTTCAACTTTCCAGACTTGGAAGATCCCCGCTGTCCACTCTTAGAATTGAAGCCACTTTTGCCCCTTCGTGAGGTGTTTCCTGATACACGCTGACGTTTCGAGGGCACTACAGCCCGCGCAATAGGAGGAGTAGGAGGTACACGTGCTGGATAACTGTACATCCTATCATAAGAATCCCGTTGAAAGTCATAGTCCAAGTCAAAAGAGGAGCTAAGTAGAGGGGACGGAGAAGGGTGTTCTGTTACTGACCCGTACATCTCCGCTGCAGATAGTTTCACACCTGCTTTTCCTCGGTTCACTTTTGGCTCTGCAGCCAGGTTGATATCTAAAACCTGGCCAGCAATCATTCTGCCATCCTCTCCTGCTACAGCAGCCCGGGCATTTCTCTCATTAACATATTGAACGAAGGCAAAGCCCTTATGAACAGAGCAGCCCACAATTTTGCCATACTTCGAAAAGATTGCCTCCACATCAGATTTCTTGACCACGAGAGTGTTTAGATTCCCAATGAACACACGGGAGTTCATGGAGCGAGGATCTGTCTTGTTGGTAACGTTGCTGGCCATTGTGTTTGATGATAAGGTTTCTCACAAAGCCGAAAATGTAGCTGAAGATCAAAAAAATCTCACAAGAGAGAGGAGGGAGAAGAGATTCGATTCTGAGTCTCCTACTCCCGGGTTCTACGTGCAGAAGCTGACTGCTGCTCGAGGTCGGCAACGCAGACACAACCGCTCAGTCTTCGTCTCTTCACAAAATCGGTGTATTTTTTTGTATAATGACTTATTTTCTTTTGGGTAGATACCTAGTAGTGGGATTGCTGGATCAAATGGTAGATCTACTTTTAGTCCTTTTAAGGAATCTCCACACTGTTTTTCATGGAGGTTGTACTAATTTACATTCCCATCAGCAGTCTAAGTGTCCCCCTTTCAACACATTCACCCCAACATTGACTGATTTTTGATATAGTCAATTTAGTTGTACATTTAAAAATAAAAGAGTATAATTGGATTGTTTGCAACACAAAGGATAAATGCTTGGCATGACGGATACCCTATTTACCCTGATGTGATTATCATACCTGTATCAAAATATCTCATGTAACCCCAAAATATATATACCTACTATGTACCTATAAACTTTGTAAAAAATTAAAATAAAGAACAATGACTGACCAGCTAACAAAGGACCTTAGAAGTCTCTGAGCCCTGTGCCCTGTTGCCCTTATACTTACTCCTTTCACTCAGGTAAGAATAGGGTAGGAGGTGCTGGCAGAGGAAAAAGAAAGTGGGAGAAACATGGCATCTCTTTGTTTCTCCAGGCCACTCCTACTCAACAGTGAAATAAGATCTTGATTTTTATCTGAGATCTTTAGGTTTGCTTTACCCAACACCCAGCAGCTGAGGTTATATGCAAAACTGTGTGTGTATAAGCATTTTCTTGGGAAGACAGTGTTCATCAGGGCCTCAGAATTGTTCAAGACCTGGAAACAATTTGAGGAACACTAGATTAAGTGGTTTCTAAGCCCCTGTTTTCACATTCTTTGATTTTGATAATATGTAATATAATTGTTTGAATTTATAAAAAGGATCATTAAGGAAGTGTCACAGTTCAAGAAGCCAAGAAATATACTAAATATTAACATCAGGTAACACAAAGCCGTTTTCTCTGTTGTGAATGGGGAACTGATATATGGTTACAATTATGTGCGAGACTGGCTAGGCTAGTTAGGTACACTGTATGCCCAGCTGTTTGGTCAAAAGCCAGTCTAAGAGTTGCTGTGAAGGTATTTTTTTTTTTTTTTAGAAGTAATTAACATTTAAATTAGTAGACTTTGAGTAAAGCATACCACCCTCCGTAACCTGGGTGAGTCTCAAATAATTGGTTTTAAGCTTTAAGAACAATGACAAGGCCGGGTGTGGTGGCTCATGCCTGTAATCCCGGCACTTGAGGGCAAGGTGGGCAGATCATGAGGTCAGGAGATCGAGACCATTCTGACCAACATGGTGAAACCCTGTCTCTACTAAAAATACAAAAAAAAAAAAAACTTAGCTGGGTGTGGTGACACGTGCCTGTAATCCCAGCTACTCGGAAGGCTGAGGCAGGAGAATCTCTTGAACCAGGGAGTAGGAGGCTGCAGTGAGCTGAGATTGCACCATTGCACTCCAGCCTGGTGACAGAGTGAGACTCCGTCTAAAAAAACAAAAACAAACAAAAAAACAAAGAACAAAGACAGGTTTCCCAAAGAAAGTCTTCTCAAAACTGCAACATGGAAACTCTTTTTTTCAGCCTGCTAGCCTGCCCTACAAATATCCAGGACTTGCCAGTGCTCACAATCATATGAAGCAATTCCTTAAAATAATAAACCTTTCTCTCTCTCTCTCTATCCTGTTGGTTCTGTTTCTCTGGAGAGCCCTAATAAGTGCTGGACACATTAGTCATTTATTTCAAATTACAATAATTCACACACACACATTAGTCATTTATTTCAAATTACCATAATTCACACACACACACACTAATCATTTATTTCAAATTACAATAATTCACCCCCCCAACACATACCTCCCCCCCCAAACACCCAAAAAGGTCAGTCCTGAGGCTGTTTGGAACAAATCAGCACTGTTGGACAGAGTACAAAGAAAAAAAATCCTACTCTTCCAGGAGTATGTTCCAAGCTTCACGTTGTGTGGCCAAAAAGCCAATTTGGTCAAATTGTCTGACACCAAGCTGTTTAACAGGACAATTTGGCCAAAAGGATGATTTGGCTGGGCATGATGGCTCACACCCATAATCCCAGCACTTTGGGAGACCAAGGTGGGAGGATTGCTTGAGGCCAGAAGTTTGAGACCAGCCTGGCCAACAGGGTGAAACACAGTCTCCACCAAAAATGCAAAAATTAGGCAGGCGTGATGGTTGTAGTCCCAGCTACATGGGAGGCTGAGGTGGTTGGATTGCCTGAGCCAAGGAGGTCAAGGCTGCAGTGAGCTGAGATGCCACAGCACTTCAGCCTAGGCAACAGAGCAAGACCTTGTCTAAAACAAGATTTGATTCAAAATTAGTATTTTATTTATTTATTTATTTAGAGGCAGAATCTCACTCTGTCGCCCAGGCTGGAGTGCAGTGGTGTGATCTCGACTCACTGCAACTCTGCCTCCTGGGTTCAAGTGATTGTGATTCTCCTGCCTCAGCCTCTCCAATAGCTGGAATTACAGGAGCCCACTACTACACCTGACTAATTTTTGTATTTTTGTAGAGATGGGGTTTCACCCTGTTGCCCAGGCTGATCAAGTGATCCACCAGTCTCGGCCTTGGAAAGTGCTGGGATTACAGGCATGAGCCACTGCGCCCAGCCAAATGAGTATCTTTTACCTTTTTTTAAAATTATTATTTATTATTTATTTATTTCAAAGACGGGGTTTCACCACGTTGGTCAGGCTGGTCTTGAACTCCACACCTCAGGTGATCCGCCCGCCTTGGCCTCAAAGTGCTTAGATTACAGGCGTGAGCCACCACGCCCAGCCATCTTTTACTTTTTAATTGATATACCAGTTAGCACTGTTAAACGTTTTCACACAAAACATATATTCATATGTTTGCTAATTTTACAAAAAGAAGATAAGGAATATTTTCAGGCCCTGGCTTCACAGAGTGCTGGAGACGTGGTGGTGCAGGCGGAACCACCTCCGCACTCCTGGCAGAACAGGACCCTCCCTGGGAAAGTTCCAGGCCCAGGAGGTAAGAATCTTGAAATTTCCACAGGACGCTTTGTACCTTTTGGCCAAGTGTCTGGATGAACCCATCCCCTTGGGTAGCAACAAAAGGTAAAGGGCCTCTGCGAGGCTTTCAGATCCCAAAAACAGCAACCGCTGGAGTGGAGCGCGATGGTCAAAGCAGCCACCTTAAGCTTTCTCCTTTCTTTCCCACCAGAGGGCTGGGAAAAGTCTTCTTCCTTGTGTCATAATTTCATTTAGCAAATACTTAACGCTTTGCATTGTGTGCAAACTTTACCACGTTTTCTGGGAAGAAAAGTCATGGGGAACTTTCAGTTGATTAACAAATAATACTTTTAGCCAAATTTTGAATTTTTTGTAACGTTTTTCATTTTTGAAAAACAGCACTTTACTCTAGCATATTCAATGGCTGTGCATTTAATAAACGGCAATAAAATCAAACCCAAAATGTTAGCAAAAAAAAAAAAAAAAAAGGAAAACAGGTATGGTAGTGACCTCTACAAATGCTTTAAGCTTGAAAAATTCTGCATGAACGCTGAGACACAGCTGAGTCTGTCAAAGTTACTCAGAGATTGTAATTTCTCCAGCCTTCAAGTCATAATCATGGGTAAGAAATGAATAAATGTGCCTGATGACGCCTTGAAACTTCTTGAGATTTTTATATAAACTAGCCTATACTTTTCTCCTTACGATTAGCATACGGGGTAGCTATTTTTCTTAGTAGAGATTCCTCAAACGTAGCCAGGGTTAAGAGAAACGCAGGCGCTGCCTCTCAGGAAGCTGGAGACGCAAGAGAAAGAATTAGGAGTTAAAGGCCAAGTCAACGCCAACCACGGCGATTGGAAGCCGATCCTGGCTGGCGAGCTGGGGATCCAGAGCATGGCGCAAACCCACCCACCTCTATCCACCCGGCGCCGCCGCCGGCGCGCGCCCATGACGTCACGGCGCCGGGGCGGGGCCCGCGGCAGGGGCCGGGCCTTTCTGGGATCTCGTGGTGGGGCGGGGTGGGGCCGGTGGCCCCGCGCGGCTCGGCGCCCTGGGGCCCTGGAGCGCCGGGGTTTATAGCGCGCCCGCTGGGGAGGCGGCTGTAGCGGAGAGGCGTGCGGGATCGGGATGTCGGGGCTGCCCACGGACCGGGAGCAGAGAGCACAGGAGCCGCAGCAAGCTGGCTTCGTGCTGGGGCTGGACGTGGGCAGTTCTGTGATCCGCTGCCACGTCTATGACCGAGCGGCGCGGGTCTGCGGCTCCAGCGCGCAGAAGGTGACTTGGGGGTGGGGTTAGGACCGGGTCTGACTGGGTTTTGCCGAGTCCCGGGGTCCTGCCTCGGGAGGCTAGCGGGCGGTCCCCACTCACCGCCCCGGAAGCGACCACCTGCAGCACCCGCGGGCCCTCGGGCCAGAGCGGCGCGCCGGGAAGGGCTGAGTCTCAGCGTTCCCTCCCTGGGCTGATCTGAACCTGGAGCGCCCTTCCTGTCCAGACTGAAGGCTCCAAGGGCCCGGTGTGTGACCTGCGCTGCCCGCTTGCCTGTTGCCACCTTGGGAGCCACCTGTCCAGCCTTACCTGGGTGGGACTGAGGTGACTCGCCAGACGGGACTGGGCAGGCTGTGCGTGTCCAGCCCGAGGGTGGTTTGTGAGTTGCTTGGTTCTTCCTGCACTTCCCTGATAGATTTCCCACTCCGTCTTTATTTACATTTTAATTTTTCACAACTTTTTTTTCTTTTTTCTCTTTTATATCATTTGGACTTGTGCCTATAACTTCTCATATTTTTGTAGAATTTAAGTTTATTCATTGTTCTTCACTTATCATTATTAACTACTACTTCAGAAAATGCTGGTTCCTCCCGTGAGCAATTGCCATGGATACTAGAGGTATTGGGCAAGTTTCGAAGGCTGTGTAGTCATCACTTTTTTATATTCCGTCTTTGAGAATTCATAGAATTCTTTTTTTCCCCTCGTTTGAGAGACCTGCCAAGTTGTTTGTTAGTAAAGCCTTGAACTGTTGATAATATTGGTCAGAAACCAGCAAATTGATATTCTTCTTTTCTCATATTAATGAAGTGTTGATTTCTATACAACTGTCAATGCACCAAAAATAATGTTTATTTGTTATGGCGTTCTTATTGTTGTTCCTTTTTTTCCTTTGAGACAGGGTCTCACTTTGTCACCCAGGCTGTAGTGCGGTGATGCGATCTCGGCTCACTGCAGCCTCGACTTCCTGGGCTCAAGTGATCCTTCCACCTTAGCCCTCCAAGTAGCTGGGACTACAGGAAGGGGCCACCATGGCTGGCTAAATTTGTATTTTTTTATTATTTTATTTTATAAAGATGGGGTTTTGCCATGTTGCCCAGGCTGGTCTGTAACTCCTGGGCTCAAGCAATCCACCCACCTTGACCTCCCAAAGTGCTAAGATTACAGGTGTGAGCCACCGTGCCCAGCCTGTGAGGGTGTTCTTATTTACTCTTCCCAGTACCAGCATCTTTTTATGTTAGAAATTTGAGGGAGGGCAGGAGCCATCAGTTACCTAAACCATTCCTAGCAGCACTGGATTTCCCGTTTTCTCAGTGTCCCACCCTTCTTCTCATTCACTTAAAGGTCTTTTTCTTTGTAGCACTTGCCCAGGAGCAGGTCCAACTAGAGTGCAAGTTAGTGTTACTGAGCATTTGTTCTGAGGAAACATCAGACTGCCTTCCATTCAATTTTTGTTATTGTTGTTATTTGTTTTCTTTGAGATAGAGTCTTGCTCTGTTGCCGAGAGTGGACTGCAGTGGTACTCTATCGGCTCACTGCAACCCCCGCCTCCCAGGTTTAGCAGTTCTCCTGCCTCAGCCTCTCGTGTAGCTGGGATTACAGGCACCGCCATCATGCTCGGCTAATTTTTGATTTTTGTAGAGATTGAGTTTCACCATGTTGGCCAGGCTGCTCTTGAACTCTTGACCTCAGGCGATCTGTCCACCTTGGCCTGCCAAAGCACTGGGATTACAGGTGTGAGCCACTGCACCTGGGCTCCATTCAGGTTTCAGAACCAAGACAGTGGAACTGGGACTGTAACAGTCCCTGGTCCCTTCTCTGGCTGGCTGTGTGGGAACACTGCCCACCCACCCACATGCTAACCCGCTGTCCCAGACTGAAAGGACAAAAAAAAGGCAGACACCATTTTTCTGTGACTTGGTACTCCTTATCTTTGTATGAGGATTCACCACAAACACAGTGATACTTTTTAAACTCCTTTTTAATTCTAGACACAAAGTACTTTTGTTTTAAGCACTTTTTTTTTTTAAAGGAATTGAAATATTTGGAACCAAAGGGAGAAATAAATTACTAGAAAATGCAAAGTTTCACAGTTAATATATAATTTGGGGCAGATCGTTATTTTTTTAAGGAATGAGGTGAAGAATCTCTAAGATGGATCAAGATTGCCGTGAGTGGCAGGAGGCCAGGATGGTTTGCACAGACTCTAAATTGTGGAAAATGTGTTTGGAAAAAAGAAAGATAGGAGTAAATAAAAAAAACACACACACACACACACACACACGCACACACGCACACACGCCTGCTCTTCCCAGATGAAGCACAGTCGTAGATTAAGAAATGTGCAGCATAATGATGGGTCAAAATTTACAAAATAAAGTACTGTTTTGGTGTGGGAGTTGTCATGAGGCTGTGTTGAAGTGACTTATCTATGTGGGATATTGAGTATCCATTGAAATGGATTTGTTCAGCCATTTACATTAATGAGCATTTAAATGCAACAGATATCATTTCAGGTGACTTAACATGAATGAATAAAAGTCAATGCTATTGGATTGTTAAAAAAAAAAAAAAAAAAAAGAAATGTGCAGCAATGCCTCTCTGTGTGATAGGAGTTTATAGCAGTACTGCTTAAAGTGTAATTCCAGGGCTGCTAGGATTGAGATAAAGAAAACCAAGCATTTAGGAACTTGTATAACAACTCAGCAGAGTAATTTTATGTATTGACTCTAATAATGAAACATTTGGGATTTTATTTTGTAAGCCATTTTTTTCTGGAAACTTTATAAAAATTATTGTTATTTTTAGAGGCAGATTCTAACTCTGTCCCCCAGGTGGCCTGATCACAGATCATTGCAACCTTGAACTCCTGGGCTCAAGCCATCTTCCTGCCTCAGCCTCCTAAAGTGTTGGGATTACAGGCCCAAGTTACTGCACCTGGGCCGGAAACTTGTTTCTTAAAAATTGTTGGTCCATAATGAATAGACATCTTTAAAAAAAAAAAACAAGCAGCAACTGATCCTTTATTGCAGATAGTTTGAGTTTTTTTGGAATAAGGAGCTTGCTGGTCTACATTGCTACTTAATACCTGGCTTAGTACCTCCTGGTTACAGAATAAATAATTGAATTGCAGTTAAACTGTTAGGAATTCATGGGGCTCTATGACTTAGACATAGCACTTGATTGTGTTTATTTTGTCAAGTGAAAATTATACCTCTTATAATATTCAGTTGGAAAGAATGTATAATAGAAACCTAAAACCTCTTAGTGTATGATTTGATTGATACTGGGAAAGAAATTTTTTTAAAAAAGAAAAAGACATCCCCCTTTATAGACAAGAACAAAATAGGCTGTGAGAAGGCATCAATCATTTCTTATGACATTTATTTTTTTAATGTTTAACAGCAGAGATACATTTTTAGCTTATTTCTGTAATTTGTATTTTTTAAAAAATCCTTCTTAGGTACTCTTAAATATTTGTATTAACTACTAGAGGAATAGTTTGTGTTGGAAACTCCACATAAGAATATTTGACATTTTGATTTTAAAAATGGGGAATATTTATTATGTGCCTCAGTGGAACATCATGCTTTTATGAAAAACTATAAAAAAGGATAATGTTTTGGTTGGAAGAACAGGACAGAAAGATCACTCCAAAGAAAACAATACCGTGTACTCTCTGTACATGCTTGAAAAATGGAGTATGTGGTTGTCATCTTTTGTTTTTAATTTAAAACATTTCTTTTTAACTTTTATTATATTCTTGATCTAATTTGGGTTTGGTCCTCCTGTCAAGGAACAGATTTCATTATTTTGACTTGTTTGGAGTTGGTATGTGACATCCTGATTGGTAAAGTGGGGAAGTGACCCTTGGTTAAGCCTGGAGGTTTATAGGCTTGAAGCAATGATACGCACATTGAATTTTTTGGGATAAGAAAGTGTTTCTGTAGTTGAACTATTATAGTCTGTAGTCATAAAAGCCTTACATAGAAAGGGCAGAAGTATTAATTGACAGAAGGAGAATAGATTGTGTTAGGTCTGTTTCTGATGAGCTCACTGGGGAATAAGGGATTCTTTTTCCACATCAGCTTGGGTAACACTTCCACTCCCAGTATTGTCACTGTTTCCTCAGAGTTCTTTTTTTCTTCATTTTGGCCTTTTCGTACTGCATGTTAGAGATTTTCCTTAACTGGTGATCTTGGTTGGTTATCTGCATTGTTTTTTTGGTACCATGCCTTACCCTAGCACTTAGATATATCTGTGATTTGCAAGTACAGAACTCTGGTTCAACCCCTCCAGAAGTAAATCTCTTATCTTCTGCCAGGTTAGGGAGGGACAGTGATCTGGCTGGAGGAGAGGAATTGGGGCTCCTTATAAAGACTTTGAATCAGTCCTATGTACTATCCCATCTGGCATCCTAGCCTTCAGAGGAACCTGTAATTTCCAGAGTTCCACTCTAGAATCTCTCTGCTCTCTGCTTATGGGCATCACTCTCATAGTTCACTTATATGTTCATTCATACATTCACTTTATGTTTATGGAATATCTAAGAAACATCTCATAGTTCACTCATATGTTCATTCATACATTCACTTTATAGAGTATCTAAGAAACCTTAGACACTTCTAGATGCTGGGGATAAAATGAACTAAGGAGACACATTCCCTGCCCTCTAGGAGTTCACATTCTGAGAAGCAGGGTAGAGGTGACCTGTCTCTGGTCTTACAGGCCATTATAAGGAATAATGGTTTTACTTTGAGTGAAATGGGAGCCAGGGTGAGTAGAGATGCAGTGTAATTTGAGTAGGGAGTGAGATACTGGCACTTTTTCCTCTGCCCTAAGCCAGGTAACACCTGCCCACTCACTGTTCATGTTAAAAACATTTGTTAAAATCCAGTCTGATCCTGTTTGCTCTCCTCTTCTCTTTGTCTGGGAGGAATTGGAGATGCATGCTTATGTTTAAGCCATCATTTTAACTTGAAGCCATAGATTTTTACGAAACTGATTTATTGATTGATTGATACGGTCTCCCTCTGTCTCCTAGGCTGAAGTGTAGTGATGTGACCACAGCCCACTGTATCCTCTACCTCCTGGGCTCAAGTGATTCTCCCACTTCAGACTCCTGAGTAGCTGGAACTACAGGTGTGGCCCACTACACCCTTTTTGTATTTTTGTAGAGATGGGGTTTTGTTATGTTGCTCAGCCTGATCTCGAACTCCTGGGCTCAAGCGAACCTCCTGCCTTGGCCTCCCAAAGTACTGGATTACAGGCGTGAGCCACTGCATCCAGTCCACAAAACAGACTTTTGGTGTATAGTTTTGTGAACTTTAGCACATGTGTAGAAGTAACCCCCAAGCTCCCTTGTGTTACCTTTTTGTAGTCACTTTCCTCACCTACCTAACCTCTGGTAACCACTGATCTGTTTTCCGTGATATAGTCTTGTGTTTTTGAGAATGTCATATAAATGGAATCATAGAGTAAGTAGCCTTTTGAGACTGGATTTTTTTTTCAGCATAATGCCTTTGAGATTTGTCAATGTTATTATGTGTATCAATTGTTTATTCTTTTTATTTCTAAGTATATGGATGTACTACATTCATTCACCAGTTGAAGTACATTTAGGTGGTTTCTGGTGATCATCAATAGAGCTGCTATAAACATTAGTGTACAGATTTTAAAGGGAACATTAAAAAAAACTTTGAACCAGTTCTAAGTACAATGCTATAGGGTAAATTTCTCTAGGGTAAATACCTAGGGTGGGATTGCTAGGTTATATGGTAAGTGAATGTCTATCTTAACAAAAAATTCAGAGGGGCCATACCATTTTGCATTATTACGAACAATGTATCAGAGTTCCTGTTGTTCCACACCCTCGTCAGTACTTGGTATCGTTAATATTTAAAATTTTGCTTATTTGATTTGATTTGCATTTCTCTAATGGCTAATGATGCTGAATATCTATCTTCAGGTACATATTTGTAATCCATATGTTTCTTTGGTGGAGTGCTTGAAGTCTTTTGCTCACTTTTAAATTGAGTCCTTTGTTTTCTTAATGTTGAGTTTTGAATTTCTTTATATATTCTAGTTACCAGTCCTGTGTTGGATATGTGATTTGCACGTATTTTCTACCAGTCTGTAATTTGGTCTTTTTATTTTCTTAGCAGTATCTTTTGCAAAACAAATGTTTTTAATCTTGATGAAGTTTAATTTATCGGTTTATTGTTATATGAATTATACTTCTGGTGTTCTAAGAATTCTTTGCCTAACCCTAAATCACAAGGATTTCTCTTGCGTTTTCTTCTAAACATTTTAGAGTTTTACATTTTACATTTAGATCTTGATCCATTTTGAGTCAGTTTTTGTGTAAGTTGTAAAGTTTGGGTTGAGGTTGATATGTTTCTTTTTTTTTTTTTTTTTTGCATATGGATGTTCAATTGTTACAACACCATTTGTTAAAAAGCTATCTTTTTTCCACAGAATTGCAACTTTTGTTGAAAATCAACTAGTCATATTTGTGTGGGTCTGTTTCTGGACTCTCTATTCTGTTCCATTGATCTATTTGTCAGTTTTTATGCCAATAGCATACTATTTTGATTACTGTAGCTTTATAGTAAGTCTTGAAATTGGGTAATGTGCCTCTAACTATATTCTTTTTTTATTCTCTCTGACTTTACTCTTTTTCAACATTGTGTTCACTATTTTATTTTTTTTTGCCTTATATAAATTTTAGAATCTACAAAAAGTCTTATTGGGGCTTTGTTGTAGAAATCTGGGATGGCGATTCTTTTAGCACACTGTAAATATTGAGGCACTTATTTCTGGCTTTCATGGTTCTGATGAGAAATCCACAGTCATTTAAATTGGTGTTCTGAGGCCGGACGTGGTGGCTCAAGCCTGTGATCCCAGCACTTTGGGAGGCCAAGGCGGGTGGATCACGAGGTCAAGAGATCGAGACCATCCTGGTCAACATGGTGAAACCCCGTCTCTACTAAAAATACAAAAACATTAGCTGGGCATGGTGGCGCGTGCCTGTAATCCCAGCTACTGAGGAGGTTGAGGCAGGAGAATTGCCTGAACCCAGGAGGTGGAGGTTGCGGTGAGCCGAGATCGCACCATTGCACTCCAGCCTGGGTAACAAGAGTGAAACTCCGTCTCAAAAAAAAAAAAAAAAAAAATTGGTGTTCTGTATATGTGAAATGTCTGACTGGTTTCAACCTTTTTTTCTTTTCTTTTAGTTTTTTTTCAGCATTTTAATTAGGACATCTGGGTGTGTAATGCTTTGGGTTCATTCTGGTAAAGGTTTTCTGAGTTTCTTGAATATATAGGTTTTAAATCTTTCATTGAACTTGGGAAACTTTTAGTAACTTTTGTTACTTCCCTCAAGTAATTTTTTTTCTGCTCTAAACTCTTTCTTTTCTTCTTTGGAGACTACTGATTAAACAAATATTAGACCTTTTGCTATGTCCCACATGTCCCCGGGGCTTTGTTCTTTTTTCCTCTAATCTTTTTTCTTTCTGTTGTACAGATAATTTCTACTGATCTATCTTCAAGTTTATTAATTTTCTTCTATCTCCCTTCTGCTACTGAGCCCATCCAGTAAGTTTTAAATTTTGTTTACTATATTTTTTAATTCTAAAATTTTCTTTTATGTCTTCTACGACTCTCTTTTTCCTTTCTTTTTAAAATAGGATATCTTTAAGGTGTTCTTCATGATGTCTTGATATACTGACCTTGATATACACATATGTAATTAAGTGATTACTGTCGTTACCTTTGCTGAGACTTTATGTCTTTCCATTTGTTTCAAGTGTATTCACTCCTCTTGGAGTATTTTCATAATAGCTATTTTAGACTCCTTATGAGATATCTGTGTCATCTTGGCATTGACATCTCTTGATTATCTTTTCCAATGTTAAGATTTTTCTGGTTCTTCATATGCCTTATAGTTTTGGATTGTATCCTAGACATTTTGAATATTATGTTAAAAGACTCTGGGTTTCTTATAAATCCTATGAAGGATCTTGTTGTATATCTTTTGTGTTCAGGCTACAAATTCATTCTTCTGTGGACTGCAGTTTCAATATCAGATCTGTTTTCAAAATCTTGACGGTACTACTTGGATCTGCCCTGTGTGTATACAACCTGGTAGTCAGTCTGGGACCTGGGTAATGGTCTATCCTTTAGTTCTATTCTTAATACCTTTGGTATAGTGTTCAGGATTACATCCATACAAGTGCAGCTTTGGGATGAGCCTAGGAGTTCATACAAAACTTTCTGTGGTATCTTTTCCAAGCTCCTCCCTCTCTGAGATGGTTCTGGTACTTTTTGATTCCCTGAACCTCCCCTTGTGGTCCTGGCCAAAAAACTGGGGCTTTTATTACCCCATTCGGCTGGATGTGTCTGGGGTTAGGCAGCGGAAACACATGGAGAAAAAAGCCATGGGGGTTCACCACACCCTCTTGGGATCTCAGCTCATCTAACTGGAAAGGAAGTTTTACCTTCCTCGGTATTTTAGGTACCTGTTGAGACGCACTGATACCACTATCACTGCTGCTGCCACCACTACAGGATTGCGTGGGTACAAAAGTATGGAGCCAAGGGAAAAAAGAAAAATGGGAGATCGCTCCCATTTCCTCTGAGTATTAGGAGTTCCCTTTCTCATTCTTTGAGCCAAAACCGTGGAGCTTCTTCTGGCTTTTACTCTGTGCCCTAGTTCCCAGTTCTGGTTTTCAGAATGTCTTGATTCTAAGCCAGGCAATTTCAGAAGAAAAATGGGAAACTCACCACCAGTTCCATGGCGCCTGAATTCTTATCTACTTCCCCAGTCCACCTCCTGCCATATGCTTTTTGCACAATAGCTGCTTCATGCATTCTGTCCACTTGTTACATTTGTGTTTAGTGGAAGAGACAGGGTGGAGTGTGCTTACTCCATCATGGTCTGAACCGGAATTCACTTTGCTAAAAATTAATTTTTAATTTTTTTTTTTTTTTTTTTAAGATGGGGTTTCTCCATGATGGCCAGGCTGGTCTTGAACTCCTGACCTCAGGTGATCCACCCACCTCAGCCTCCCAAAGTACTAGGATTACAGGCGTGAGCCACCGTGCCCGGCTATTTTTAATTTTTTAAAAGCCATTTTTCCTATTATAAAAACATGCCTTCCTTGTAGAAAACTTAGAAAATGGCCAGGCACAGTGGCTCATGCTTGTAATCCCAGCCCTTTAGGAGGCTGAGGTGGGTGGATCACAAGGTCAGGAGTTCAGGACCAGACTGGTCAACATGGTGAATCCCTGTCTCTACTAAAAATACAAAAATCAGCTGGGCGTGGTGGCTTGTGCCGGTAATCCCAGCTACTTGGGAGGCTGAGGTAGGAGAATTGCTTGAACCGGGACTGGGAGGCGGAGGTTGCAGTGAGCTGAGATCGTGCCACTGCACTCCAGCCTGGGCTACAGAGCAAGAATCCGTCTCAAAAAAAAAAAAAAAAGAAAAGTAGAGATAAAGCTAAAATCTTCTGTGAACTGATGACTTACTGCTATTTTGGTGTTGGCATGTAGTCCTTTTTTATTTCATATATGTATTTTTTCAATTTTAACAATAAAAATTAATTAGATACTAAAATCATGTTGTTAATTATTTTAACCAGTAGTTTTGATACCCAAAGACCCGTACTATTGACTTGATCTAATATTGTTTTTACTAAATCTTCTTTTCCTAAATAGGTAGAAAGTCTGTATCCTCAAATTGGCTGGGTAGAAATTGATCCTGATGTTCTTTGGATTCAATTTGTTACCGTAATAAAAGAAGCAGTTAAAGGTAATTGAATTTATCAAAATAACAATAATCTTTATGGTATGTTTTTGTGCGTGTGTGATAAGAGTTTTCATCAGGCTTCTGTAGTTGTGGTTTTCCTAAGTTATACATATATGTAGTATTTTATTGGGATTACAGTTTCCCAGTATTTTTCAAGGAAAATTTGTAATTCACAGTGATCTCCTTTGTCAGGGAAGGTAACATCTGCTGTGTCCTCTGGTTTGTCTCTTTTCAGCTGTAGTGTAAATGCTCAGCATTCCTCATTCCACGTTATAGCTGGTGCTGTTTTGATTTCCTGTTTGGCACAAAATACCAGAGGATCATAAACAAACATTACAGTTTACAGTTTCTGCTCTCATGAGTTTACAACTGAGTTATGTTTATTGTAAAATAAGTTTTCGTTTTTTTCTGACCACTTGACATAAAGTGCACTCCTGACCAAAGCTATCCTCTAAAGCTTAGTTCGTTAAGAATGTTAGAAACATTCAACACTGAAAACATCTCAAAACATTGAAATGGCAACCTTGTTTGAGAACACGTCAAAGATGACTTGCAAATGTAAATTCTAAAAGGTCTTTTGCTTCATTTTTCTGGCTGAAATGCTGCTGCTTCTCATCTTTTTGGTTTGAAATATTTCAAAGTCTGTGCAAAGTTGTAAGAATAGTACAATAAACTATTGTATATCTTTCTCCTAGATTCAAACATATTTTGCAATGTTTACCATTTTCTGTAAACTGTTTTTTTTCCTTCTGAACCATAGAAAAGGAGTATTTTCCCCTATAGCTGCAATGTAATTATCACACTCAGGAAGTATAACATTAACACAGTACTGTTTTCCAGTACTCTGTCTTCAATATTCTCTCGTCTTAGTGAAGACAAAAAACAAAAAACTTCTTTTTTCAATCTAGAACCCAGCCAAAGATGAGGCATTGCATTTAGCTGTCAGTCTGCTTAGGCTCCTTTCATCTAGAGCACATTCTTATGACGCTGGCAGTTTTCAAAAGTCCAAGCCAGTTTAGTAGAATACCCCTCATTTTGAGGTTGTCTGATTGTTTCCTCCCAGTTGGATTCAGGTGAATACCTTTGGAATACTGTGTGGGGGTCGATGTGTTTTCCTCAGTGCTCAAATTGAAGTTGTCCCAGATTTTCCCAGTGGGATAAATAGTTTTTGTTTTGTTTTGGTTTTTTTGTTTGTTTGTTTGTTTGTTTGTTTTGAGATGGAATTTCACTCTTGTTGCCCAGGCTGGAGTGCAATGGCACAATTTCAGCTCACCGCAACCTCCAACTCCTGGGTTCAAGCAATTCTCCTGCCTCAGCCTCCCGAGTAGCTGGGATTACAGGCATGTGCCACCATGCCCAGCTAATTTTGTATTTTTGGTAGAGATGGGGTTTCTCTGTGTTGGTCAGGCTGGTCTCAAACTCCCAACTTCAGGTGATCCGCCCACTTTAGCCTCCTAAAGTACTGGGATTACAGGCATGAACCACCGCACCCTGCCTGGATAGTTTTTTTTAAAGAATATCACAAAAAATACTTGAGTTTCTATATTTTAAGAAATTTAGACAAAAATGTCAATTTTTTTTTTTTGCATGCTGTCGTCAGTTTGTGTTGAAATTAAGGTCTCAGTTTCAATAATTATACTACTTTCCCTAGGAGTTTTCTTTTTTCTTTTCTTTGAGACAGAGTCTCACTCTGTCACCAGGCACCAGGCTGGAGTGCAGTGGCACAATCTCGGCTCACTGCAACCTCCGCCTCCCGGGTTCAAGCAATTCTCCTGCCTCAGCCTCCCGAGTAGCTGGGATTACAGGCACACTCCACTACACCAAGCTAATTTTTGTATTTTTAGTAGAGACGGGGTTTCACCATGTTGGCCAGGATGGTCTCGATCTCTTGACCTCATGATCCGCCCGCCTCGGCCTCCCAAAGTGCTGGGATTACAGGTGTGAGCCACCGCGCCCGGCCAAGAGTTTTCTTTTATTGTCGTCAACCAGCTTCTGTTATGATTGATCATTGCTTAAATTAAGATTCAATCTTTTGTTATCATCAAGAAAAAATAAATCTGACATACTTTTGAGTAGTATTTGTTTTTTTTCCCAACATCTAAAACAAAAAAAGCCATTTTGTTATTAAGAAACAACCTTTAAGGCTAGGCACAGTGGCCCACACCTGTAATCCCAGTTCTTTGGGAGGCTGAAGTGGGCGGATCAACTGAGGTCAGGAGTTTCAGACTAGGCTGGCCAACATGGTGAAACCCCATCGCTACTAAAAATACAAAAAATTAATCAGGCATGGTGGAGCACACCTGTAATCCCAGCTACTTGGGAGGCTGAGGCAGGAGAATTGCATGAACCTGGGAGGCGTAGGTTGCCGTGAGCCAAGATTGTGCCATTGCACTCCAGCCTGGGCAACAGAATGAGACTTTGTCTCAAAACAAAAAACAAAAACAAAAACCAAGAAACAACCTTTGTTTTCTTCAAGTAAAAAAATTCTGCAGAATCATCTTAGTAATGCTTTATTTATTAGTTGCAGTTGTTTTATTAGAATGCTAAACCTAGATATTTTTCTTAAAGATTATATTGAATTGTTTTTTTTTTTTTCCATATTATAATATTGTAAAGAAAAACATCACTGGCTTTACAATATGTGTTTTATCTATCTTTACTTTTAGCTGCAGGAATACAGATGAGTCAAATTGTTGGTCTTGGCATTTCAACACAGAGAGCAACTTTTATTACGTGGAACAAGTAAGTGCATTTTGTAATAAGCACCTAACTGCTAGGTTCATGCCACACTGAGTACAGGGCTATGAAGCCTTTTTGGGGAGTTTTAACTTTGTGAATTGAGAGTAGTTTTGTTTGGTTAAGAGGGATGAAAGGGGCCTGCTTTCTGGCTTATATGCTTGCTGCATGTCATTTGGGCTTGACTTATATAAAATAATGACCCACAAAAAGACTTACTGTCATTAAAATTTTCCATTCCTTTCTTTTGGGCAAGTTAGCTTTTCAAACAAGCATAGATCAACGATCTAAAAAATTAGCTTATACCTAAAAAGAGTCAAAGGAATCTCACAAATTTCAGAAACACGGTACTGTGCTTATGGTTTATATTTTCAGTCTACTCTAAATTTGAAATTTGTCTGTAGCATATGAGGCATATATAGACTAAACGAATTTATAATAATAGCTGCTATATAATAAACACCTGTGACAGTCTCAAGTTCCATTATCCTTACAACAGACCTATAATTTAGGTATCATATCTGTTTTTATAGAGAAATAAATTGATCAAGGTTGCTCAGTGAGCAAATAGAGCCAAGATTCTAAATTGTGTTTTTGACTCAGACGCATATGTTCTTTACGTTATCCCCATATTGCCTTCAACATGTTTCTTTTTTTTTCTTTTTATTTTTTACTGAGGCAGGGTTTTATCTGTTACCCAGGCTGGAGTGTGGTGGCATGATCACAGCTCACTGCGGTCTCGACCTTATAGGCTCAGGTGATCCTCCTGCCTTAGCCTCCCAAGTAGCTGGGACCACAGGTGCACTCTGCTATGGCTGGCTAATGTTTTTGTATTTTTTGTAGAGATGGAGTTTCACTGTGTTGCCAGGCTGGTCTTGAATTCCTGGGCTCAAGTGATTCTCCCACCTTGGCCACCTCACCCAGCTAGCATATATTTCTCTGTTTCTTGGTTTAAACAAACACTGATCTTCCCTCCCCCACGTACCCACACACACCACTGTAAAATGTGTCTTTGTTAGAGCACTAGGCTCCAAAAGACATCTTGAACTTGGGGATTGGGAAAGAAAAGAGAGTGGAGGGAGAAAAGATGAATCTCAGAAATGTAATCAGGGTGAATTCACAAGGACTTGGCTTCTAATTCAGTATTAGGGAAGAAGAAGAAATTCGAATTTACCAATACTGCTGGCCTTGATGTTTGGGTGGTATGATAGAAATCATAGAGAAATATAAGAGGAATGCACTGGGAGGTAGTGAGAGTAGGTAGAAGGAAAAATGATAAAATGTTTGGTTTTGGACATGTGAATGTGGAAATATCCCAGAGGTGACTAGAACATTGATTTAATTTGGACTGAGGCGTAGCACATCTCCATCAGATGGGTTCTTTTGATTTTTATTGTTGGGGGATGAGGTCTTCCCTGCCACCCAGGTTGGAGTGGAGTACAGTTGCATGATCATAGCTCACTGCAGCCTTGAACTCCTGGGCACAAGGGATCCTCCCATATCAGCCTCCCAAGTAGCTGGGACTATAGGTATGTACCACAGTATGCCAGGCTAATTTTTTTTTTTTTTTTTGAGACGGAGTTTCGCTCTTGTTACCCAGGCTGGAGTGCAATGGCGCGAACTCGGCTGACCGCAACCTTCGCCTCCTGGGTTCAGGCAATTCTCCTGCCTCAGCCTCCTGAGTAGCTGGGACTACAGGCACGCGCCACCATGCCCAGCTAATTTTTTGTAGTTTTAGTAGAGACGGGGTTTCACCGTGTTGACCAGGATGGTCTCGATCTCTTGACCTCGTGATCCACCCGCCTCGGCCTCCCAAAGTGCTGGGATTACAGGCTTGAGCCACCGCGCCCGGCCCAATTTTTAAATTTTTTATAGAGATGGAGTCTCACCCTGTTGCCTAGGCTGGTCTTGAACTCTGAGCCTCAAGTGATCTGCCTCCCTTGGCATCCCAAAGCTCTGGGATTATAGGCATGAGCCACCATGCTTGGCCCAGTACTCTTTTTTTTCAGGGCATGATGCATCTCAGGTTGATGCCTACATCTGCAGTTCCCCTGTGCTTACTCCACCCCCTGCACTGGCATTGGTTATGACAAATCTTAAATAAATCTTAAATAGTAGTGTATTGTCAGATGAAGGGATGAATGAATTAAACTTACCTGTACAGATAAGGTATCTAATCTTAGTGACGCTGTTGACGTTTTGAGCTGGATAATGCCTTGTCATGAGGACTGTCCTGTGGTGTCGCAGATGTCTAGCAGCATCCCTGGCCTCCACCTACTAGATGTCAGTTACACCCCAGCCCACCCCACCCCCATTCGTAGGAACCACAAATGTCTCAAAACATTGCTAAATGTGCCCCGGAGGGGCAGAATCACCCGCAATTTGGAACTGTTGGTGTAGATGAAGTCTCAAGAAATAGGTGTTTTCTCTGGTAGAGATTATGTGGAGAGAAAAAAAGCAAGCTAAGGATTTGGAGTTTCCCCTCTCCCAAATTTAAAGTGAATTAGGGAAAAAAAAGCCAGCAAAGCCGGACCAGCGTGAATCTGGGAAGTGGATGGATGAAAGTGGAGGGAGGAGTGTTCTCAGGGAAAGAACTGATTGAATGTGTCACATTCACTTGACCATTGGCCCCAGTGATTGCTTTCATCAGGACCTGGCTACCATATCACTCATGACAGGAAGGTCAGAATATTAGGAAGCAGTTTTTGTCTGATGCTAGGACTATACGTCACCTTTAGAAGGAATACACGAGTTAGATTTCAAGACAGTTCACTTTCCTTACTGGTGTTGCTGTTGTTGCAGAGGGATAAGACTTCATCCTAAAACAATTTGTTATTTTCATGGTTGTCCTTTTTTCTTGTTTGAAATGTTTGTTTTCTTTCATGAGTTTTGGGAACATTCTTTGCTTGTAGAAACTGAAATAGTGGGGACTCCATGTTTGGATCCCCTTCCACCCTCGTGGAAGCTGTCTTTCTCTCTCCTAGATTTCCCCTCTGGAGTTCCCTTCCACACTCTTTGTGGAAGTTTTCACCCTTCTCCTCCTTTTTTTCTCTTTCTTCACCTAAATAAATAACTTTTCTGCAACAACAACAACAAAAAAAAAAAAAAAAAAAAAAGAAAAAGAAACTGAAATAGTGGATATTAAAAAAAACAAAACAAAACTGAAAGGCTTTGTGCTTCTTTTACACTGAAATAATGGAGGCTATTCTGCTCATTGGGCCCCAGGGAGCCCATGTGGTGACAGATTTCACAAGCACCCTAGCAAGCAGCCGGGACACAACACAGGATGGGCACAATGCAGGGCCAGCCAGAAGAACTTCTTGTTCATTTGTGAGAGGAAAGGAGAAACAGACGAGACCCTGTGGAGAAACCTATTGTCGTTCCAGTCCTGGCCTGCAGCTCCTCCTCCCACTTTGTTTTTTTCCTCCTGTATGTGTGATGCATTTCTGTCCTCGTGGCCATCGTAGAAACATTATTTTCCTCACAGTTGCTGTCAGGAGGTCTAAAACTTTGAACTTTCTTTTTGTTTTTCTCCTTGTCTCTCCCCCACCCCTCTGTTAGGGACCAGGAAACTTAATAACTTTTCTCAGTCTTTGAGCTTTCTTCGTGTTCTTCAGGTTAAGCTTTTTTCCCCAATATATTCAAAAAGTGGTGTGTTTAGCCTATTTTCTAAAATAGCTCTAACTGATATGTCTTTCCACTTTGGTTCTTTTAAATTCCTTTTGTTCTTAAAAAAAAAATCCCACACTGTTTTGTTTCTTTAGTCTCTGTGTCGCTTCAAGGAGATTTCTGCCAGCAAACTTTAGATCAGGGTGTGTGCCAATTAGCAGTACAAACTGTGAGTCACAGGAACCGAGATTCACTCATCACTGTTTGAGGGCTCACAGGGAGTAATGCACTGTGTTGGGGGCTGTACTGCATATACAGGTGAATGAGAATACCAACCCTAGTTTGCAATCTCGTTATACAGGTACACAAATTACTCTATATTCCCTTTGCATAAAATAGATTTTTATTTATTTATTTTTTTATGCGGAGTCTTGCTCTGTTGCCGGGCTGGAGTGCAGTGGTACGATCTCAGCTTACTGCAACCTCTGCCTCCTGGGTTCAAGCGATTCTCCTGCCTCAGCCTTTTGAGTAGCTGGGACTGCAGGTGCGCACCACCACGCTAGGCTAATTTTTTGTATTTTAGTAGAGATGGGGTTTCACCATGTTGGCCAGGATTGTCTTGATCTCCTGACCTTGTGATCCACCTGCTTTGGCCTCCAAAAGTGCCGGGATTACAGGCATGAGCCACTGTGCCTGGCACAAAATAGATTTCATTTTTCTTCTTTTTTTGAGATGGAGTCTGGCTCTGTCACCAGTCTGGAGTGCAGTAGTGCAATCTCAGCTCACTGCAACCTCTGCCTCCTGAGTTCAAGTGATTCTCCTGCCTCAGCCTCCCGAGTAGCTGGGATTACAGATGCACATCACTGTACCCAGCTAATTTTTGTATTTGTAGTAGAGACGGGGTCTCACTATGTTGGTCAGGATGGTCTCGAACTCCTGACCTTGTGATCTGCCTGCCTCGGCCTCCCAAAGTGCTAGGATTACAGGCATGAGCCACTGTGTCTGGCCAGATTTTTATTGTAGTATTTGATATTTACATTAATGAGTCTTACTACTTATGATATAAAATATATTAAGAGCCACAGAGTGGTGTAAACTGTTAGAAGGTTTTAAGACAATTCATTTACAGTATTGCCAGTTACACTTTTCCTTCATTTTTCCTTTTATTATTGATAGAGGTAAAATAAACCCAAGTCAATGGTAAATGAATATTGGAATATATGCTATTACTTGAAATCAGTATTCTAGATTGTCTTGTTCTGTGTTATAAATTAATGATGCCACTTTCATCTTGTGATTTTTCTCTCTCCCCCTCATTGCTCTTCAGCCACACTAGCCTTTCAGTTCCTCTAAGACATGCTTTATCTTGCTTTAGGACCTTTGAACATATAGCACATCTTGTTGGGAATGTTTATACTCCTGATTTGTATTCATCCTTCAGAGCTGAGATCCATTGTCATTTCTCAAGCCCTCCCTGACCACCACACAGGGCCATCTGTTAAATACTCTCACATCACCTCTATTTATCCCTTATAGGGCTTATTCCTGCTGTAAGTGAGCAACTGAGTGATTGAGTATTTGTTTGAATTCCCCGTTAGAAAGTACAGTCATAAAGGCAAAAGTATTATGTGTCTCTGTTCATAGCTATGTACCCAACTCCTGGTACACATTGCCTTATAAATATTTGCTGAAACCATTGATCGAACATCAGCTTTAAGTGTATAAGTCTGCGCTATTGTAGAATGGCTCTGAAGAATTATATATCAATAGATTTTATCTTTATCAAATACAATCTTTATATTTGATAAAGATCTTTGACAAAAGTACCAAGACCAGCCAGCAGAAAAGAATAGTTTTTTCAACAAATGGTGCTGGGAAAACTGGACATTCACATGCAAAAGAATTAAATCGTATCTTTATCTAATACCATATAAAAAATGAACCCCCAAATGCACCAAGTACCTAAATTTAAAAGCTTAAACTGAAAACTCTTAAAAGAAAACAGGGGAAAATCTTCATGACTATGGATCTAGCAGTGATTCCTTAAATGATATCGAAAGCACAGTTAACAAAATAGAAAGATAAATTTGGACTTCATATATTAAAGGACATACTTTTTTTTTTTTTGGACATACATTTTTTAAAAATCTGTTTGTGATTACCAGTTTTCAATTTTCTTAACTATTGGAACTGTCCAAAGTAGAAAAGTTACCTTAAATTTAATTATGAATAATAAGCAAGCTATGTTAAAATTAACTTGACATAATGTGCAATTTACATTTTAAAACTATATCTGAAAAAATTTAGTCATTGTTATATAATCTGCAGTTAAGACTTCAGAAAACCACCTGTGGCATGTAACATAGAAGGTGCACGTCTTGGTAGGTTTGGTTTGTAATTTCATCCAAGATTGAGGACTAAAACAATAGGGAAATCACCCCTCTGATTTGTACTCATGATAATGGTGACGATTTGGACCTCTAAAGGAAAGAGAAGTGACATGCTCATAATCTAGGCGGTTTCTAGGAATAAAGGTGGAAAAGCAGAAAAACAGGACACTTATCAACAGAGTGAAAAGACAGCTCATGGAATGGGAGAAAATACTTGCAAATTGTAACCTCGAAGCATGTAACATATTTAATCCTTAATCCCTGGTAAGGGATTAATATCTAGAATATGTAAAGAATTCCTATAATTCAACAACAAGTAAACAACAACTCAATTCATAAATGGACAAAGGACTTGAGTAATATACAGATGGTCAATAAGCACACACACAGATGCTCAATATCATTAGTAATTAGGGAATTGCAAATAAAAACCATAATGTGATATCACTTTGAGATACCACTTCGAGATACCACTTCACACCCATTAGAATGGTGATAATTTTGAAAAAAGGAAGATAACAAGTGTTGTGAGGATTTGGAAAAATTGAACGCTCATACATTGCCAGTAGGAATGTAAAATGGTGCAAAGACTGTGGAAAACAGTTTGCCAGTTCCTTGAAAGGTTAAACATAGAATTACTATGTGACCCTGCAGTTTCACTCTTAGGTATATACCTAAAAAAACTGAAAACAAAGGCTCAAACAGATACTTCACACCAATATAAAAGCAGCAGTAATCATAATAGCCAAAGGATAGAAACAACCCAAGCATATACTAACAGATGAATTGATAAACAGTATGTAGTATATAAATACAGTAAAATATTGTTCAGCTATAAAATAAAATAAAGTTCTGATACGTGCTACAATATGGATAAATCTAGAAAACATTATACTAAGTGAAATAAGCAAAATATAAAAGAACAAATTTTATATAATTCTACTTATATATGATATGCTTGGAATAGGCAAATTTATAGAGACTGAAAATAGAATAGGGGCTCTAAGGGATGGGGTGAGGAAGGAATGGGAAATTATTTTCTAATTGTTACAGAGCTTCTGTTTGGGGTGATGATGAGAGTTTTAAGAAACAGTGGTAGATTTAAACATAAAACCTAACACCATAAAAACACTAGAAGAAAACATAGGCAAAACCATCCAGGACATGGGCATAGGCAAGGACTTCATGACTAAAACACCAAAAGCAATGGCAATAAAAGCCAGGATAGGCAAACAGGATCTAATTAAACCCTAGAGCTTCTGTACAGCAAAAGAAACCATCATTAGAGTGAATTGGCAACCAACAGAATGGGAAAAAATTTTTGCAATCTACCCATCTGACAAAGGGCTAATATCCAGAATCTACAAAGAACTAAAACAGATTTACAAGAAAAAAAAAATTCAAAAGTGGGTGAAGGACATGAACAGACACCTTTCAAAAGAGGACATATATGAGGCCAACAAACATATGAAAAAATGCTTATCATCACTGGTCATTAGAGAAACACAAATCAAAACCACACTGAGATATCATCTCACGCCAGTTAGAATGTTGATCATTAAAAAATTTGGAGACAACAGATGCTGGAGAGGATGTGGAGAAATAGGAACACTCACACTGTTGGTGGGAGTGTAAATTAGTTCAACCATTGTGGAAGACACTGTGGCGATTCCTCAAGGATCTAGAAATAGAAATTCCATTTGACCCAGCCATCTCACTATTGGGTATATACCCAAAGAACTATAAATCGTTCTACTATAAAGACACATGCACATGTATGTTCATTGCAGCCCTGTGTACAATAGCAAAGACCTGGAACCAGCCCAAATACCCATCAATGATAGACTGGACAAAGAAAATATGGTACATATACACCATGGAATACTACGCAGCCATAAAAAACGATGAGTTTGTGTCGATGAGTTCGTGTCTTTTGTAGGGACTTGGATGAATCTGGAAACCATCATTCTCAGCAAACTGACCCAAGAACAGAAAACCAAGCACCATATGTTCTCACTCATAGGTGGGTGTTGAACAATGAGAACACATGTACTCAGGGAGAGGAGCATCACACACAGGGGACAGTTGGAGGCGGTAGGGGAGAGACAACGGGGGGTGGGGAGGGAAGGGAGGATGAGAAGGGATAACATGGGGAGAAATGCCAGATATAGTATGCACCTAAAGTAAAATAAATAAATTTTTTAAAAAAGAAAGAAATGCTGGTGGTTGCACAATGTTATGAATGTACTTACTGCCACTGAATTGTACACGTAAAATAGGTAAAATGGTAAACTTCATATTATGTATATTTTGCCACAGTTTATTTATTTATTTTTTAAAGTTAAGTGTTAGAGAGTGTGGTGGAAAGCTGTTAAAGTAATAGACAGTGGGATCTGGGAAAGTAACCAAACTAAAGAGTGGTTGGTAGGAAGAAAAGGGAATGTTTGAGGGATTAAAGGTTGTAGTGAGTTAGAAGGCCAGGTACTTAAGGAGTAAGATTGAGAGAACTGAAAACTTTTATTCCAATGTGCTGATTAATATACTGAAGTATTAGACTTCAGTGGTAGAACATGTAAAGGTAAGGATGTGACCATTGGTCATGGATGTGGAATGCTTAAGTAGAGAATGATAGTCTTAGTAATTGAATGTGGTTAAAGTCACACAGGAGGAGGTCTGGAGTTGGGGCTGAAAGCAAGCTTGACTTGGATGTTGATTAGTAGATGCCAGTAGTTGATTTGCAGGAGCCTCAAAGGAAAATGTTTTGTTTTACTTCTCTATTTCTTAGCTCTGTACTTTTATTGTAATATTGACCCAAGGTTTATTGAATTTCTATTTGTTGGGGAGATTTTGGTAAGCGTGTTAGGTTCCCAATGGCTAAACCAACCCTAAAGTTAACAGTTGTAGAACTAGACTCAGGCAATATTTTCAGCTCTTCTGTAGGTCAGAGGTTTTTATTGGATTATGTGTATCAGGATAAGTGCAATAAAGGGGAAAAGCACCGGCTTTTAAAAAATGCTTTTAAAGTGTGTAGAGTGGGTCTTCAAAGGCTTTTTCCTTAGTTAATTCTGGTTTTGGAAACATACATTGAAGTGTTTTAAAAGGACTATCTTTGTGGAAAGAGTCTGACCTGAAATTTCATACTGTGTCACATAATTGTTGCAAAATGTGTTCAATTTATAAAATCAAGAAGAAATCATGTAGAAAGGTGCATCTAACTAAAGTATACTTTGCAATTACAGTATGGCCTCTAATTTTGTATTCTCTTATGGCAGATCTTTAACATAGTCTCTGATTTATATTGGGTATCAAAATACTGTTTTAATCTTTCTAGGAAAACTGGAAATCATTTTCACAACTTTATAAGTTGGCAAGACTTAAGAGCTGTTGAACTTGTAAAATCTTGGAATAATTCTCTTATAATGAAGGTAATCTTTTTCTTCTGTGATATTATTGTGTTTTTCCTGTAAATGTCCCTTAATTGTGAGTTAATTATATTATTTTCTACTTATTAGGACATTAAGAAGACACATACACACACTCCCCATTCCAGTGAAGTTTAACAATAGTCAATCAAAGACGTATGTAGTAGACTTCAGTACTTGTACCTCAGGAAGTTCTGAGGACGTTTGTGGTGGACCAGAGTTTCACACGTTCGTGAGAATTTGTGTTTCTCCCCTTGAGAAATGGAAAAGATACAGGCTAGATGAATGAAATGCCCAAATTTCATCTTTTATAAAAGCCCAGGGTGGATATTGAGATATTATAGATAACTTGCAGACTACTGCAAGCTTTTATCATTACCCCCGGACTGGGCATAATGGTTCATGTTTGTAGTCTCGACACTTTGGAAGGCTGAGGCAGGAGGATTGCTTGAGGCCAGAAGTTCAAGACCAACTTGGGCAACATGGTAAGACCTCATCTCTGTAAATAATGCAAAAATTAGCTGAAGGTGGGGGTGTGCACCTGTAGTCCCTGCTACTTGATAGGCTGAGGTGAGAGGATTGTTTGAGCCCAGGAGTTAGAGGCTGCAGTGATTGCCACTGCACTCCAGGGCACTCTGTCTGGGTGACAGAGTGAGATTCTGTCTCAAAAAAAAGCCAAAAATACCAAATTGTCCCCGATACATAGTAGGTCATCAGTAGATGACAATGATGATGGTGACAATGACAATAGTAACATCATGAAATCAGCTGTTCTTCTGTTATTTGTCCCAATAACAATAATGGGACAATATTGTTGCCCTCACTCCTGAGTGTGGGATTAGTGAGTCAAAGAGTAAAACAGTTTTCCAGCTCCTCAAATGGCATCAGAATTACAGTATTTGATGTCATAATCAATATTCCATACTAACTACTATAATACTTCTAATGCCTCACAGTTAAATGCCTTCTCTGCTAGTGTACTGGTACCAGATGGTACCCAGGGGAGTGTCTAGAACATCAGTTTTACTTGATAAGTATTTTATGATATTAATTTAATATGAAAACATGTGAATATATTATAGAATATAACAGCAGTGCATGAGTGAAACAATTTTGCCATAATCTCACCTGAACTGATTTTTCTTTTTGAGAGTTAAACATAAAAAAAAAGTACCTTGCTGCAATAACTAGTGAGAGGTACTGTTAACAAGGACGCAGTAACTAAGGGAGTTAAAAGTGGTTTATAAGGAAATGTCATGAACCCTCAATTGTATAATTTTAAATTATGCAATTTATAATGTATAATTTTATACCTTAGTATATGATTTTAGTTTTTAATAGTTCATCAAACATTCTTTAAGTTAGTCATTGAGGTGTTTAAAACTTTTATTCCTTTGGAAAAAAATTGTGATTTGAAAAGAAAAATTGTGATTTGAAAACATTTACTTCCATAATATGTCTCAAATTTCAAATCTTTTTTTTGTTTGTTTGTTTGTTTTGAGATGGAGTCTCCCTCTGTCACCCAGGCTGGAGTGCAGTGGCACAATCTCAGCTTACTGCAACCTCCACCTCCCAAGTTTAAGTGATTCTCCTTCCTCAGCCTCCCAAGTAGCTGGGATTACAGGTGCATACCACCACATCTGGTAATTTTTCTATTTTTAGTAGAGGTGGGGTTTCATCATGTTGGCCAGGCTGGTCTTGAACTCCTGGCCTCACATGATCTGCCTGCCTCAGCCTCTCAAAGTGCTAGTATTACAGGCATGAATCACCACGCCTAGCCTCAAATTTCAAATCTTAATGCAGAACTGTGACCTCAAGCACAAAACCGAGCATTTAAAACGCTTTTGTCTACTTGATATTGAACATGCGCCTGATGAAAGTTTTGGTTCCTCTTAGCAAAAATATGTACACAAACACACGCTTTCACAGTTTAGCGCACATAATGCTAGGGCCTGTCGTGGGAGTGAAGGAGCCCTACTTTGCAGTCATCCCTTTCCAGTTGCTAATGGTTTGATTGAGGCCCTTGGAAATGTTTAGAGTGTTTTTGTCAGAACTGGCACTAGTGTCATTAGTTTGGCCAAGGCTAGCCCCAAGCAAAATGGTGCAGTAATTGGGGTGTGTTTGCAGTCTCTTGCCACTGTTGCTTTCTTCCAGTTTCCCCAGACGCCCAGTCTTCTTCTTACTGTAGTTCTTATTCTTGCCTAATGATTGCTCAGGCTTTCTTCTCTTTGCTATTAGCATAAAATCCCAGCTCCTTACCAAGGTTTGGCAATATTATTCTAACACTTCCTAGACCCCTTTCTCCTGAAGTTGCTAAAGATTAGCAACTCCATCTTTGCCAGCCTGTTTTTGTTCTTGTAGCACTCAAGCTGTTTCTTACCTGAAGACCATTGTACATGCAGGGGATCTCTCTGCCATCATGACTGGATCCTTCTCATTCTTTAGGATCCAGCTTATATGGCACATCTGGGAGCCCCTCCCTGCCATCCTATTTAAAGGAACCCCCTTGCCCTCAATCTCTTAGTTGTCCTTTGTTTCCTTCATTGTACTTACTAAATTTCAAAGATCCTGAGATATGCATTTTATAAACTGAAAACTAAATGGAAATAATTGTAGATTCACATGCAGGTGTAAGAAACAATACAAAGATCCCTTAGACATTTGCACTTTCTCACAATGGTAACATTTTGAAAAACTATAGAATAACGTCACAACCAGGACATTGACATTAATACAATTCATAATTCCTATTAGGATTTCCCTAGTTTTATTTTATATTTGTGTGTGTGTGTGTGTGTGTGTGTGTGTGTGTGTGTATATGTGTATGTATGCAAGTACTATACAATTTTTTTCCTATCTGTAGGTTCATGTATCCAGGATCACATGCAAGATACTGAACAGTTCCATCACTACAAAGATCTCTTTTGTTGCTCTTTTATAGCTATATCGACCACTCTCCCATACACCTCCCTACCTGCTGTCATTCCTAGCTCCTGGCAACCACTAATCGGTCCTCATTTAAAAAATGTTCTAATTTGAAAAATGTTATATACATAAGATTATACTTTTAAATATATAACCTTTTGGGGTTGGTTTTTAACTTAGTATAATTTTCTGGAGATTCATTCAAGTTGTTGCCTATATCAGTAGTTTGTTCCTTTTTATTTCTGAGTTGTATTCAATAGTACAGCTGTATCACAGATTATTTCACCATTCACTTGTTGAAGGACATCTGTGCTGATTACAGTTTTTGGCTATTACAAATAAAGCTGTTATGAACATTCTTTGTATAGAATTTTGTATGAATGTAATTTTTCATTTCTCTAGGATAAAAACCTCAAGGTCATATGGTAACTGCATGTTTTGTTTTGTGAGAAACTGCCAAAGTGTTTTGAAGAGTAACTATACCATTTGCTTTCCCCTCAGCAATGTATGAGTTATATTTTAACATCTCTGAAATCAGGATGCATTTCTTAGCAGCATGTTAAATAATGATTCATTTTACAGTCTGTCTTCTTAAATCATTTATTGATTTGATTGCTTATTTGTCTTCTCACTAGAATGTAAATTTTAAAAAGACAAGGATTCTGCCCATATTGTTCAATTTGTTTTTACAAGGCCTAGCAATAGTCCTTGGTACACTAGAAGTCACTTAGTAGATAGTATTTAGACATGTGAATGAAGATGATAATTGTTGTCCACAAATGCAGGTACTGGAGCTTGTAATATTTTTGTATGACCTCTCCACCCATCCCGAGGTGTCTGCATTTTAACAGAAGATCCCAGAAGTGTCCTAAATCTAATTTTGTATGTGAAGAGTATAGTTTGTTTAAGGAGAAATAGCCCATTTCAGTTTAAATTATTTCTTACAAGAAATGAAAGGAAGGATTATGGGTGGTCACTTTAAATACTTTTAAAAAGACTTATATTTTAATAAATAATGTGAAAATGTATATGCCATATAAAATATAAAGAAATGACCAGGCGTGGTGGCTCATGCCTGTAATCCCAGCACTTTAGGAGGCCAGGGCAGGCAGATTACCTGAGGTCAGAAGATGAAGACCAGCCTGGCGAGTATGGTGAAACCCCATCTCTACTAAAAGTACAAAAATTAGCCAGGTGTGGTGGTGGATGTCTGTAATTCCACCTACCCAGGAGGCTGAGGCAGGAGAATCACTTGAACCTGGGAGGAGGAGGTTGCAATTAGCTGAGATTGCGCCAGCATTCTTAGCAAAAAAGTATAAGCCTGGGCAACAGCGTGAGACTCTGTCTCAAAAAAAGAAAAAAAACATATACATATAAAAAATGAAGAAGGTGTGAACACTAAACAAAATGAGAAGGACGTTAAAAGGACAGGACTGAAAGAGAGAGAGGACTGAGTCTATGAATTTTCTTAATTGATGTGTTATCAATTAAAAATGAAAGAAAAAATTCATATTACTATTTTTCATAAATAAGCCAAAATCTTTAAATTTATTTTGGGGAGTGAGGTAGGATTAACAAAAGTGGGTAAGTTCAACAAGAAGTGGGCAACACTTTGTAAGTGTTTTGTAAAACATCTGTTTCACAAGTTGAAGTCTCCATCTACATCCCTGTAGTGTATGGCAGGATAGGGTTTTTGTTTTGTGGTTTTTGTGTTTTTTTTTCAGTATGTCTTAAATCCCTTAAAATTCAAAGCTTGTTTTCTGTATACCTAAGCCTTTTTGTAAATTAAAGATTTTGCTTATGTTTTGTCTTTGATCATTAGATAAATATAGATAGTATTAAATAAAATCATACAACCAGATTTTAAGTGCTTAATATATAGGGAAACTTCTGTCTGTGTTAGTGCTAACTTGATTTCTAATAGGAAAGAAAAAGAGCTAATAAGAACTCATTCTTCATTATCTAGTACTAAGAAGAGCTCTCAGGGCTTTCATTCATAGAGCTTGAAGCTAAGATATAAGATTGTGATTAATGTGAAAATATTTGGACTATGAACCTTCAAAATAAAAGATTAGCTGATAGCTTTAAGTAGTTACTATTAGAACAGCAGTGAATTAATACTATTCTACTACTAAATAGTATAGGTTAAAGTATACATATCCCACTGAAATAAAATACTACAAATAAAGTCTCCTTCCTAGATTCTCTCCCATCACTGTCATAGTTAAAATAGGTAGAGAGGGAAAAATATAGTTCTTTAAAAAAAAAAAAAAACACATACACACACACATTTATAAGGACCTGAGCATCTGGTGTTTGCTAAAATAATTCAAAGTAGATTTGTTGCATTTTATGTGTTAGAATACAAACTACCCATTAAGGATAATATCACTGTTTTTTATTTCCTTAAGTGCAGAAAACACTTTTATAAGTAGTTAAATGACGTGTTATTGGGTTTATTTGCATGTATATAGAGTTGACCTGGAAATTTTAAACATTATTAAATGCATTTTCTTAAAATATGTTTTTTAAAATATAGCTATTTCACAGTTCTTGCCGAGTGCTTCACTTTTTCACTAGAAGTAAACGACTGTTTTCAGCCAGTTTGTTCACTTTCACAAGCCAGCAGACTTCTTTGAGATTGGTCTGGATTTTACAGAACTTGATTGAGGTAAGAAAATATTGTGTGTGTGTGTTTGTGTGTGTGTGTGTGTGTAAACCATGTAAAGACTATGGGAAAGAAAAAAATTAAAGGAATAAAGATAATAATTTGATTATTTGAGGGAAAATTAAGTGTCTACCATATATTGGAATGGAAGACAATGTGGCATCTTTACTTGTTTTTTGTTTGTTTTGCTTTTTTTTTTTTTTTTTTTTTTTTTTTTTTTTGGGGGTTTCTTTCTTTTTTTTCCCTGGTGGGGGTGGGGTGGGTTTTTCCGGCTCACCCCCCACCCCG